CACGCCCATCTTCATCGCAGAATTTTTTAACAACATTGAGGTCGAGGGAAGGGGAAAGCAGAATTCCTACTCCTCTCGCATTGGGCGTACCCAAGCTCCAAAGAGCTTGCCCACCCCATTCCCTCTCCCACAAGGCTGTTTCTTCAACGTGTGAAATGTGGCATTCTTGCAAGCACACAATGTCAAAATGTTGTTGTCTACAGAAGTTATACACTTGCCTGCGTTTGTTGGGATTACGCATCCCACAGGCGTTTAAAGTTGCTATGACTACCATTGTTAAAAAAGTTAAGGCATACAGCCTATGCTTGGTTCGAGTCATCATTATTATTATAAAGATTCTTCAGAGGATTCGAACTCTTCAATTTGGAGATCCTCAGCAAGAGGGAGGTCGTAATCGGTGGGGCGGACTGTCTTGACGAGGGGTTAGCCTTTCTTTTAGGGCTGACCTCGTCATCCGACCGGGTTGATGCTGCCGGCCTCTTGGCCGTCATTTTGCCAACTTCCATTCCTGTAATCTCGGGGTCTTTTTCATCTGATGACGTACCAGTGGTTTCAGAGATCGTGGTCTTCTTGACACCCGTTTCCTTTGCCATAAGTTCGAGAGTTACGGCCTGTTCAATTTCATTATTCTGATTAGGGGGTTCGTTGTTCTTTCCCCTGACCTTGTTTCGTCGTCGGTTTTTTGCGACGGGAAGTCTTACTCTGCGCCTCAGCTTTGGGCTGGGTGCTCTCGCTCTCGTTTCCAGGGGAGGGAGTTAGGATTAACTCCATTTTCTCCTCTGTGTCCTCCTCGGAGGAATCTGCTGACTCCTCCTCGGAGTTATCCTGCTCATCAGGGTCTTGCCCCTGCGACATAGGAGAGTCGTGAGCCACTGTTTCAGACTCAGTCTGCTCCACCTGAGCAGGGACTCCAGAGCTGCACGTGGACTTATCTACCACAGCTTCAGGACCCTTGGTCCATTTGTTCTCAAGCTGTAGCTTATTTGCGTAGGATGTTGGGCACCGGCGAGCGGTGTGGCCTTCCTTGTTGCAATTATTGCAGACTATGTCATTGGTACAGTCAGAGGCGATATGACCGACCGTTTGGCACTTGTTGCAAAAGCGGACAGTGCAGTTCGCCGCTTCATGACCCTCTTGATAACATTTGATACACGTTCTGACTTGGCCAACATAGCTGAAAAACACCAGACGACCATCCGCCAACCTCCAAGAAGACGGGACGTTTACGCCTGGCTTGAGGACAACTTTGTACTGTCTGTTGCCATTTCTGACGGAAGGCCTGTCCCTGTAAGTTACCATACGGGAAGCAAGGACCTGTCCGAAACGTGACAAGTAGTTCCTGACATAGTTATCGTCGAATTCGTCAGGAATTCGGGAGGCTGTAATGATGGACTCAGCGCTCCCGTAGACACGAACATCTACACAGTCTAGCTGTGCTAGCTTACCAGCATACAATTTCCTATCCCGCAGGGTGCGGAACGTTACGTCGAAAGATGTCTGATTCAGCGCCTGTACAGCCTGTAGACTAGAGGTGGGGACACCAACAGTGTCTAACAGGGCAAAGGCATCTGCAGCAGACAGCCTGTCTTTCTGTGTGGTTGTAACACAGATAGAGTTATCTCTCCTCATTTTGTACGATCTATCCGGGGGTTTGTACGCAGAAGGCTTTGTCTGAGCCCCTACCGCACCTATGGTAGCGCAAAATGTGCCTGGGAGGATTCTTGGAAAACCCTTTTGGAGCCTTTAGCCAGACACTGTGGCGCCGGCGACTTACAAAACAACACGGCCACCCAAGGGGTGGGCGATACCACCCCACCAAGAGAGGGGAGGGCAAGTGCGTACAATGGCTCGTACAACAACAATTTACGGGAAAACAAGAAGAAAAGTAGCCGTACTGTTATAGACCAACCTCCTGACCTTCCACACGAGGTGGGACTTGGGCCCAACCCGTGAAAGGCTGGAGAACTCTGAGAACAGAAGACCGGAAAGTGGCGAGCCACGCCGCCGGCTTGCACCGCAAGGTCTACCTGGGCGTCTCCTCACCAGGAATACGGTCGCACAGAAACGACCGTAGTGTGCTTAAATAAGCACCCTCAGACTCCACAAAACCACCAAAATAATCCTGGGAAGCCCAGCAAACCGAATATCGACAGTCCAGACCAGGATGTCCACTTTTTCCGGCCGAAAACGGCCAAAAACGAGGACTACACACGGAGCGTCAAGCAGGAGTGTGCTGACGCTACGCATGCGCACTGGACTCAACTTTACTTGTATCTCAAGACCTCATGAAATCACTTCAGACATAGCGTTTTACATTGAATCAGTTAAAGAGATACTGAATCTGGGTTGACAATAGCCGCGGCGACTGTTGCAGGGCTTCTCTTGCTTGCAGTCTTTTACATTAGCCCTAACAACAGTCGCGGAGCGGTGCATTGGGCCAAATGAACAAACATGCGTTTTACCGTGCCGGAACACTTTGAGACCGAAGTTTGCACGTCCCCAGATTCCTAACAGCCTTACCTAACGTGCCGGGGTGTTTTGCGCGTCAACCGGCCCCTGCGCGACTCGTACCGCCACGCTCCCCACGTAAAACATAACAGTTGGCCGCCATTTTTGATTGGAATCAGCCGCCGGCAAATTTGCCGCTAGTTTTCTGATAAGCTATTTGTATGTATCAGAAAAGTAGTGGCACATTGCAAGTAGCTGATTCGACGCGCGGCTGACCAAGATGGCGGCCACTCGGCATATGAATACATGGGGAGCGATCGCAATTAGTGGCGGTACGAGTCGCGCAGGGGCCGGTTGACGCGCAAAACACCCCGGCACGTTAGGTAAGGCTATTAGGAATCTGGGGACGTGCAAACTTCGGTCTCAAAGTGTTCCGGCACGGTAAAACGCATGTTTGTTCATTTGGCCCAATGCACCGCTCCGCGACTGTTGTTAGGGCTAATGTAAAAGACTGCAAGCAAGAGAAGCCCTGCAACAGTCGCCGCGGCTAGGTTGACAACATTTTATAGCGTAAGGACTATTAATATATGTTAAAATGACAACCTTTTATAGTGATGACAACCTTTAACCCTCAACAGTACACCTTCCCGGACTGATTAATCTGTACACCTGGGGTCCGCGCGGACCCCAGAGCAGTTTTTTGCTAATTTTTAGAAATTATCAACATGCTACCAGCTCAATTGTTTTGCAAACTGATGTGGGAACCTCTGTGTCCACATTACAAACAAATATCATACATTTTGAACTTTTTCTATTTTTGGTGAAGAAAAGAAGACAAGAAGAAATACCCGATTTTTAAACCCATTTCAGACTGAAGGGGCTTTTGAGGCCCAACTTTGATCTCAGATAGCGGCTAAACGGCTTGCGCTAGAAGTATCAAATTTGGAGACCTTTCCTAAAATGTCTCTGGAAAAAAGTTCATATTAGTTTGATACTAGTAAATTGATATTTTTTGTGTTGCCATGGCAACAGGTTTCTATTTTTCAAAATAGAAGTGATTTTGGTTTAAACATAAAAATTTTTTGAGTTTTATATTAAATTACACTTCTTTTCCAACATTAATAACATCTTACATAATTAAATATAAGTTAAATAATTTAATATGCATAGAATATGCTAATTTGATGACGTCATTGGTCAAAATCCAATATGGTGAACTATATTATTAGCTCTGACGTCATATGACGTCATAATTACACCAAAGTTATTAAAATTTAATTCTATTACTACACCATTCTCTGAAAACTTGGTAGACATAAGATGAGTGCATAAAAACATATAAAAACGGAAATAAGGTAATGTATAAGACCGCCAATGTATCCATTATGATCGAAAGCCGGCTGGGGTCCGCGCGGACCCCAAAAGAAAATCAGATATAATTTTTTTATAAATGGTAGAAACGGAGTTTTCTGCACTGTATTGAGAGACAACTTTGTGGGTGACAATTACCTAAAATTTCAGAAAAAAATCTTTAGAAACAAAAAAGATACTACAGAATATATAGTGCTGGGGTCCGCGCGGACCCCAGGTGTACTGTTTAGGGTTAATAGCGTAAGCATTGTTATATATTTTAAAAACATTAACTGTGTTTTTCTTTTCATTGTGAGATCACTAATAGTAATATATAGCAATGCAGTTGAAGACCTCCATTTTAGCCTTATGGTCATGCTCATGTAAAATGAGACAAAACACATCATTGCAGAAGAAATAGCACAAACGGCTTACAATGTATGGTTCTAAGAAGATACACGCAAACAATCTACATTGTGTGACGTTATGGAGCTGGTCGGAGTTTCATCTCAGTGCGCTTCAGGGAGTAGTTATTACCCTTCCAGTGGCGCCAGGTGACTCCGCCATCGTTACTCCCAAAAGTACCCAGGTGGTACTGGCCGTTCAGGTTTGAGTGGTAGCAATCGCCGTACCACCAAGCACCTTTGAACATCTGAGCACAACTGGACGAGTACACGTCGTTATCTCTGTCCTTGGCACTGAATGGTTTCCCGTCATGGTACGTCAAGCTGTCTCCTGTGACAAAAACAGACATTTACTCTACATAACAAGACGAGGTATTCTATTTATTGATGCGTGTTGACGGTTATCTCTTAAACGATACTGGAAAGAATCCGTTTTGTGTCAAACATTTTATTCAATTTGTCATTTTTAGCATCACGTCTTTCAAAATTTTTATCTTGAAAAAAATCTATCACGAGTGTAACGATGTTACATTTTAGATTCAGCTCGAAAAAAATATCATTGAGAAAAGTTCACAAAGTCATGTTGCCTATTTGCACACGTCCACGATGCTATGATAGGAGTACACGCCACAACCTTACCTGCAGTGCCGCTGTAAGTCCCTATGTGGAGCTTGTAGTTCTGTGATTCAGGTGAGATGGCAAACGTGTCGTAAGCGGCGTACCGCGTCTCTCCCTCCACATCCTCCATATCCACCCTGAGCTGGTAGACTTTCTGCACAGCCAGGCGGTACAAGTTGTCA